TGGCTTTTATATTGATAATTTAATAAATAAATTTTATTATTCGAACCCAGTTTATTTTCCGACGGCCTCAAGATGCCGTTGGAGAACGAATTGAAACTTATATAGTTTCATAGAAGTTATAAATTTGGCAAAATTAAAGTATAAGTAGAGTTGTAAAATTACCGTAATTTTATGTAATTTTACGTAATTTAGTGTAAGCTTTCGAAACCAAAATTTCATGTAATTTTGATAACATGTGAATAATGTAGCCAAAATTTCACTATGTCTGGTGTGCTTTTGAATATAAAATTATAGTTACGAACGTAGTGATGAATCTCTAATAATACTGCAAAACTTTCATAATGTTGGTGCAATAATCATGTGCCAATCCATTATCAAATGCAATCCAATCAAGTTGATTATTCTGCAAGAAATTATCAATTGGTAATCCTTAAATTTCAATCAAACTGTCAAAAATATTCATGTTTAATTTTTTTTTACAAAAAGCATAAAACTCCAGACTCTGAGGGAGATCAAACTGATAAAATAGAACAAAATTATGAAGGAAATCAACTCAGAAAGAGCAACATCCCAGGAGAACTTGGTGATATGAATCAATAATAGTATGTAATCATTATTTACTCTCACTAAAAACAATTTTAAAGTTTATTTTTATTGTATTTAAGAAACTACAACTTATTAAGAAGATATTAGCGGTAAAGTACATCTTTATTCTTCGTGATCATATATGATTATACAGGAACTAATCTACAAATTATTAATGTAGGTGATGAACTTACGGAAGAATATCAGAAGCTGCAATTAAGTAAATTAAAATTTTATTGTATTCAAAAAAATATTTATAAAAATTTAATTGCTCATTTCTTTCTACAGCTACTATTAAAAAAGATATAGTCTCGCTCCTAAATAATAATTTTAAAATAGTCATCACTGTCAGCTTAAAATCTGTGGAGATAAACTTTTTTCTAAGAATAATTTGATCGAAAACTACTCACAGAAAACTTCGACCACCTTTTTAGTCCTGATGAAGATGTTATCCAGTTTTCGCTTCAACCTTTACCATTTAATTTGCAACAGTTTGATTCATTAGATAATTGCTTTAAAGAGTAGGAAAAACAATGCAAAATGTCTAAGTCTTTTAAGTTCGAAGTTCAAAAAAAAAATTTAAAAATGGGCTGCCATCAATAGAAATAAGGCAGATTGACATTTTTAAAAAAATTAATACTTTAACTTTCACAGCTTATATCTCGATGAATTTTGAGGTTATCTTAATGATTTAATAGTCAAAAGAAAGCTTATGATCTAAGCTTTCTTTTGAATATTAAATTATCAGGATAGCTTCAAAACACACTGAGATATGAGCTATGAAAGTTAAGGTATTAATTTTTTTAAAATGTCAATCTGCCTTATTTCTATTGACAGCAGCCCAAATGATATATAAATTTCGGGAACTTTTACTACATTTGATCGTATCACTTGCAACAGACTATAAACGAAAAGAGAATAGAAGTCCTTCCTCAAAAATTTTACGCAGACTTGTTAGTGATAAAATTAAGTCTATTTTACTAATTGATGAAAGACAAGAACGGAGATATTGGTACGCAACATGGCGGTTAATTGAATTACTCAATCTAACGCAATGTCTGGCCTTAATTTTTGTGAAATCTGGCGTAAATCCGATGTTTTTCAAAAAAGCTACTAAATGTGAATACGACAAATTTCTTAAAGAACTTTTGAATGATGAAGAAGCATATCATAAAGCACCTAAATTTGACGAATCATTAATGGATAAAATTATAGAGAAGTTGGAATTATTATTCATAAACATTATTTTAACTTTTGTAATGCAAAATTATATATTATATTTCAAAAATTGTAATAATTCAATGGATTAAATTTTGGTAAAACTAGAACATAACTCCTATCAATCAATTTTTCTTAGTTTTTGAAGTATAGCAAATACAATCATATCGTATATGAATTCCGGACTTTATTCTAAATAACGGCATTATTATTGTAAATTAAATTTTCAATATTTAATCGATATTAACTAATATAAACACACTAAATTTTTAAATGAAAAATTTAGTACTGTAAGGACAATAAAAGATCGATTGTTTTTCATCTAACAAAGTTGATTAATCAAAAAAGCCAAGCTTGAATTGAAAATTTCTTTTTGTGAGAGTCACGAACATTACAAACTCTTTGAATTCTTACATCAGCAAATTAATAGAATAATTATTGTTTTCATTTTTATTATTAAATTTTATATTTATTTAAAACCATTTAGCTGAAGGATAATGAATAAATAATTCATTTAAAGTAGATTCTTTGGATAAATTGAATTGTTTTAAGGATATATGATTAGTGATAATCAAAGTTATATCTGAAATAAATTTTTAAAGAAAATTTTTTTTAAAGATATCTTTAAAGTCGTCAGTTAAAGATGAAAAACTAGGTGATATAATCTTTCCAAATTCTTTCTGAGCCTTTTTAGTATCATAGGAATTATCTTCTTTTTTTTTTTAATTCGTATAACACATTATTGAAATTTTTTTTTTTTTTTTTTTTAATGTTAAAGGTGAGACCATGCTCTTATCTTTATTAAACTTAATGAAAACTTTTTAC